CGGGGAGAAACGGGGGGGAAGCCCAGCGCCCCCCGCCGCTGCTGAGGAGGAGGGGAATGAGAATAAACCCCCGGTTAACCCTTTGAGGGAGGACCGCGCTTCTCCAGGCTGGGGGAAGGTCTCTCTGCTCTGCCGTGGCCGGAGCGTTTTGCTGCGGAGGAAAACCGGGGAGAAGAGGTATGGATAGGCCGGGGCGAGGGGGAGGCAGCCCTGGTCTCGGACTGGTCTTTAACGCAGCCCATAGCGGCCACAAAATGCTGCAGGCTGCTACCAAAAATCTTACAAAGCTTCAGCTTTGTACCCTCAGCAGTGCAGGGAAGGGTTGGGACGGGAGGATCGGGATGTGCCGGAGGGCTGGAGCAGCGGGCGCGGGATGAAATTTAATCGGATGGAAAGCGAGGTCGTGTACTTGGGAAAAGACTTTCCGCTGTAAGGCGAGCACTCCAGCCCGGGGGACGGCTGGGAGCTGCCAGCAGGGCACAGCTCTGAGAAGAGCAAATACGATTTGTTACCCAGACAGATCCCAGGAGAGGAGGGAGCCAGGCCTAGGTACAAGTGTGCCTGTTTCCAGACGTCCCTGGGCTGGAACTGCCCTTTCTGTGATCAGGACCGATGAGCCCATTTTAGAGGAGCTGAAAGAAGCTCAGATGTCTTGACAAGCAGCAAGAGAAATGGTGATGATGGGGATGATATTGTCCATCAGCACATTGGCGGTGCGAACCCTGTGAAACGAGGAGAGCTCGTTCAGCTAATGGGTAGCACAGCAGAGCAACAAATACCAGTGAATAAATGTTAGCGGGAGGCTGGGAGGTCTTTAACCATTAGAGCAGTGAGATCTTGGTTCTGTCTCCCAAGGGGACTGGAGGGGCAAAGGGGTAGGAGCTGTTAAGGCAGTGTTTGGTTGCTTTATGAAAAGCACAGCAGGTTGTGATTGCTGCTGAACAGACGGATGGGGCTTGGGACCCCGGGAAGAGCTCCAGGGCCGTGCAGGGGAGCGGGAACAGGCAGGCGGGGTTGGACACCACCATGTCAGCATCCTCTGGATCATCCGCAGGAGTCATGCTCAAGGTTAAACTCCTCCAGGTCGCTGCAAGTGTAGGTGTGTGCCCCTTGGCTGAAGGCGTCCCTGGAAAAGTTGGTCAGAGATGGTCTCCTTGCACCAGTGAGAACTGGTGAGGGGACTGGTGGTTGCCACGTTCCAGCCTGAGCCTCAAATATCAGGTGGCAGACTAGGTCAGGCACAATGATTTTAAGTAGCAGTGTTTTAAACGATAATTGTAGTGGGTTTGGGCTGTGTGTAAAGCTTGCTGAGAAACAGTTTGTGAATATGGAAGATACCCTCCTGTGTGTTCCCTTTCAACCAATGTGCTTGAAGTGGGGCTTTCGTTTCAGCAGGGGCCCTTCGGCTTTCCAGAGTGCGTGACTGGAGTAGGCAGTAGGGGAAACAAGAGTATTACGTAGCGTAATATATCACCACAGTATGTCATTCATTCATTTTTAGGAACTAAACAAACGTGGGTCAGTGTGGAAAGCGCAGGCTGAAAACTTCCCTTTCCCAAAGGCTTTTCTGTCTACACGTTGTCGCGGTGTCCATGCGCCCCAGGAAATCCCTGGAGATGTTTATGGCGATGTACTTGCTCTGTTCTCCTTAGGCGTTATGTGAGGAAGGAATTCCT